ATGCCTTTGGTGGCCAAGGTGAGTCACACCATGAAAAGAGTGGTTGTCTCGCAAATTACTGATGGCACGCATTGGTGAGTCGGCAAGCTTTGCAGCGTGCAGCCTCCAGTAGCAGCCTTTTAGCACGCAAGCCACGGTGAAGCGTTGTTTGTTACTTTTTACACCGCGAGCTCGAACCGTTCAGCGATGGAACTCGCTTTGACTACTTTCGGCAGCTAGACCGGAATTCGCATTCTTCGTTGGAACGAAGAATGCGAATTCCAGTCGCAAACTTCGTTCCAACGGTAAGCTGATGTTACGCCACAATTTGCGCGGATAAGTAGTGAGGTAGGGTCGCGGCGGAGAGGTTAAATGATGTGATCATGGCGTGCGCAACGGTTTTTTGTGTAAACATATACCTTTGATATAGCCAGTGGCATTTTGGTTAAATGTATGAAATTACAGGGGGATCTTCGTCTTTTCTAGATATCAGGGGTCCTGTGGTTTTTTAATAATTAATCTATGGTTAGGTAACCCGTCAATTGCGTTTGCATAAAATGCATTGTACCCACACTTGACAAAGATGTTGCGCTTTCTCCGAATCTCTACTGATTCATGCATTTTTATCGGATCTATTCTTATCGGTAGCGTCTTGGTGGTCATAACTGCAAAAGATGTACGAGGCGACTCTTCAAGTGTTTAAATTGATAATTCAGGGATGTTTCGTTCGAGGAAACATGTATCGTTGTCGGTTGGTGTAACGGGGCACCCTGAAGCTTGTACTGGTGACAGTACAAGCTACTTATTCTGATAACAGAATAAGGCGGTGCCTCGTAACTTCACGTACACTCGTACGTGCAGAGGAAGACGGTAAGAAGAAGCGAGTACTCGGTTAGAGTAAAAAGTAGAACTGTATTTATAATAGTTAATGTCTGCAATAAATCACTATTTATCTTCATCTAACTATGTCTAAATACAAATGTGTAAATCAGTTATCTGCTCACCACTCATTGCGTGCGTCTGTCGTGGCGCGTCTTCGTTGGTTGATATAATGGCCTATATCAACCAATTAGGAACTACTTGGAAGTGCTACAGAATATTGTCCTTATGACAATATTCTGAGAATATAACTCTTATAGTTATATTCTATTAACAATTTCTTATAAATTGTTATGTAACGATTCACCCCGTTACATCACCCCCCTTAACCATCAGTCACTTTAGTGACTGATTGACTAAATGGATACTCGTCCCAAATCATTTGGGACGGGGTTTGCACTTGTTGGTCCGCGTCCACTTTCCAACATCTCATCGCATGATAAACAAGCCCATGCGATGCGCGAGCAAGGCCGCCGAGAGCGCGTCTGCACGTCTCTGTGCGGACGCCGAAGCAGAAACTACAGCAACTGATGTCCCATCGGTTGCTGAATCGACTCAGCCTGTATCACCTGGTGATGCAGGCGCTGGTCATGAAGACACTCGTGTCTTCACAGAGTACGAGCTCGGTGTCTCGTACTCTCCTGATACGGATGACGGATCCGTATCGACGGCAATTGAATCCAAGCCGCCTGCCAAGCGTGGCATGGACGATGCTTTGCGTCGCAGCATCTTTGGTTCATCTGATGAGTCAGATGAACCATCGCCAAGCGAAGGCGCTCGAGGTCGCGAGACTCGGGCGCTAATAGTGGTGTCGTTTCTCCAATGGACACCACTTCACAGCGAGGTGCCAGTACTTCTGTCGGCACGTCGCAGGAAGAGCGGGACCGCAATGTGTTGCGTCTCGCTCCAGAAAAGAAGGCATGGATGCCTCCTAAATCTGTCATGGATCACTTGTCGGCGACGACGAGTGATCGTTATCGAACACGATTGTTCGATTCGTCGAGGATTCATCACCTTGACCCCAGCGCGAAAGACTATCGCGCTGAACATGAGTTCTTCATCGATGCTTTCTTCAGACATCGATGGTACAGTGGGAATCACAAACGTGATGGTCCCTCACTACTTCAGGCGTGGAACGCCTACATCCATAATCTCGAGGATGTAGGTCGTGACGCTTGGAACGACAAACTTATCAAAGCTCGTGATAAGTTTGAAAAGCGAACCCCGACAGGTGCACGCTATAAGCTGCATCGTCTGTCAAGGGAGAAAGGATTACCCTGCCTCTCTTGGGGAGACTCGTGCCCATGTTGTGTGAACAACTCTGCACGAGCACCTAAGAGGCTTACCTCCTTACCAGCCCGTGGTGGCGCGTACGTGTCTCTACTGAGATGTACGAAGGGATTGACAACCTGAAATCCCTTTACGACCGTGCCGGGAAGACTTTCTCCGGCGGTCCTTCTGCGGCACAGGATGTGTCGCGTCGTACTGCTCGACCAGACCCAGTACGTCAACCATCAATTGGGAGCGGGGCTCCCAAGAATCCCAGGACGGGGGATAGCCGCGCCACCGGACGAGGTAACTCGTCCGACGTCCGTTCACGTCGCGGTGGTTCAACAGCTGCTCTACTAGATAGCGCTGGCCACCGCGAGAGTCCTCTAATGGAGGTGGAGGAGGAGGAAAGACGCTCTCCACACGATCATGTGGATCGGTGTGTTCCCGAGAGCATCTTTGATCGCGTAACGCAAGGGTTACGCGACGATCTCGAGCATGAGCGGAATAGGCGTCTCCAGATGTTGGACACTGCCTCGAAGCATCGAGCTGAGTTTGCCTTTGCTCAGCTTGAGAACGAGAGATCTCTGACATCTCTTCGTGACGAGCTAAGGGTAGCTCGTGGGATTGTTGATCGGTCTCGGGCTGAGATAACTGCTCTTCAGACCCTTGTTGATGCCCACCATCGGGAGCACAAGGCTCTCTGCGAGATGCTTGAGCGCAAGGGCGTTCTTCATCGGAAGAAGCAGCGTACTGATGGTACGGCTTAAGCCGACCAACGTAAAACGTGGGATGCGTTCGCATCTTACGTGGTAACTCGATCGTGTATGCATTGCCTAGGCGGTGCAATACACGAAATGGGCCAATGTACTTGGGTAGTAGTTTACTGCTACCCAAGTTAGTCACTACATGTTTTGGTAGATTAACCGTAGACAGTAGGACTAAGTCACCTTTATTAAATAAAAGAGTGTTTGCCCTTCCATTCTTGTCAGCGTTTTGCTTTTGCTTATCCACCGCTTCGGCGATGGAGTCTTGCACAAAACGGACTACCGTTTCACGAGCCAGTATGAACTCATCTGATGACTCGTTAGCTTCAGTGTGCTGTGAGCGCACTGCAGCGACAACAACCTTTTCTTCAGTGAGGGCTTCCGCACTCTCACTGGGATCATTGTCTTCAGTGAGGGCTTCCACACTCTCACTGGCATCATCTTCTTCGATATCGATGTTATCGATATCGGCATCAAACGCAATGACTTCTTCGTCAGAGCGTGATGAGCGTGAACCAAATCGGTTTTTGCTCGCGCGAGTCCCTCCTCCCCTTAAACCAGAGTTACACTCTAGTAAGGTGGGTACACGCGGATGGCGCAAGCCATTCACGTAAAACGGTGTATGTGTCGTCGACGCATGCACCGAGTTGTTGATGGCAAACTCTACCATCGGCAAAAACTCACTCCAACTCTTAAAGGAGTGTACGTATCCTCGAAGTATCTCTTCAAGGACACGATTGGCACGTTCCGTCTGACCATCTGACTCTGGATGATCAGATGTTGACATCTTCAAGCGCGTTCCGAGTGATTTGAACACGGAACGCCAGAAATCAGCAGTGAATCGTGGATCTCTGTCTGATACGAGTTCACGGGGCAACCCATGAAGTCGGAAGATGGTGTCAATAAAGACACAAGCACAGCCACTTGCCGTGATTGTCTCTGGTACAGCCACAAGGTGTACCATTTTGCTGAGTCTGTCAACAAATACGAGAATACCCGTATTCCCGCGTGCGTCTTTGGGTAACCCGAAGACGAAATCCATTGAGATGGATTCCCAGCACTCAGCCGGAACCGGTAGAGGCTGTAAAGGTGCACGCAGTGAAGGACTTGACTTCACTCGTTGGCAGACTTCGCATGCGCGAACATACTTTCGCACAAACTGATACTGGCGGGGCCAGTAAAAGTCTCGACTTACCGTGAGATATGTTTTCTCTCGGCCACGATGTCCTCCTATAGGAGCATCGTGATACTCGAACATGATCCGCAAACGCAGATCAATATCATCTGGAATGACAACACGTGGTGTGTCACCAGAAACGGCTGTATAGTACAGTAAACCGTTACGAGTAGTGTATCGATCTGATGCAGATCGATACGCAGACGACAATCGTTTCAACGATTCTCGAGATGGTTGGGAGAGATGTGACAACAACTTCACTATCTCACCATCTTGGGCGTATGCCCGCCTCACATCATCATACAACGTTGTAGATGGAACTGAGGACGTCATAACCGCAACAGTGACTGTCTCACTGTTGGGTTTCGCGACTGTTTCAAAGTCGGGACGACGTGAGAGTGCATCAGCGACGACATTAAGTCGTCCTGGTTTGTACTCGACCGTAAAGTTGTATTCTGCAAAGAATGACAACCACCGCGCCATTCGTTGTGAAAGGTGCGGGCTGTTCACTGCCGTGCGTAAGGACGCATGGTCAGTGTAAACAACGAAGGGTCTATCTCCTAATAGATAGACTCTGAACTTCGCGAGTGCATACTTCATGGCAAGGAGTTCCTTGTCATGCACTGGATAGTTCCGCTCAGCTGGTTGCAGCTGACGCGACTGATAGCAGACGACGCGTTCAACGCCTTCAAGGTCGTACTGCATTAATGCGCAGCCGATTGCGAAATCGCTGGCATCACAGACCACATGAAATGGCCTGTCCTGATCGGCTATTGCTAGGACTGGGGATTGTATCAAGCTCTGCTTGATACCCTCAAAGGAGCGTTGACATTCAGCGTTCCATAACCACCTCTCGTTCTTTTTCAACAAACGAGAGAGGTGTACAGTCATCTCGGCGTAATTGCGTGAATACTTATGCAAATACGCCGCTAGCTAAGGAATTTTCGAAGACCTTTGACATCGACCGGCACGGGCCAGTCGGTGATCGCCTTGATCTTTTCGGGATCAGGACGTACACCGTTCTTACCAACGATGCACCCAAGAAGTGGCATTTCGCTTGCTGCAAATATACACTTCTTGAGGTTTGCATACAATTGATGCTTTCGCATGATTGTAAGAACTTGTCGGACGTGGTACTTGTGAACCTCAACGTCCGACTTTCCATCCATAGCTCGACTATGGATGAATACGTCATCGAAATAACTCGGCGCGAATTCTCGTACTGGCCTCAACAGATGTGATACACACCTGTTGAACGTGGCAGGGGCATTACTGAGCCCTTGTGGCATTACTAGCCATTCCCAGAGCATGCCGCTAGGCGTGCTAACTGCGGTATAGGGTATATCCCGTTCCCGCATTAGGATTTGATAGAAGCCATCCATCAAATCCATGGACGAAAAGATGGTACTCTTTGACATACCATCAATGATTACGTCCTTCCTCGGTATCGGCGTCTGAGCCGGTACCGTTGCAGCGTTCAATTTGTTAAACGCGTGCACTATCCGCCACCCTCCTGTTGCTTTTCGCACACAGAAGGTCGGAGAGCTATGTGGGGAAGTTGATTCCCTCACATGGCCCGCTGCTAAACGATCGGCAAAGAACTTGTCGATCGCAAGTACTTGTTCACGAGGCAGTGGCCACTGCTTCATGACACAGTACTTCGAGCCTGGTTTAAGCTCGACTTCGTGTCGAATACCTTTATCCTTCGGTAATTCGCACGGAACAGTTTCAGGGAATACATCCTTGAATTCAACCAAATCTTCATAGAGAGGATTTTCCTTGAGCGATTCCCATGATTGGGACTCATATCGCTCAATTCGTGTCTTTTCATCTAGGACACTCTCGTCCATAGATGAACTACTGAGAACTCTCTCGTTCTCAGTAAACACTGTTGCTGACCTTATGTCGGTTACACACTCGTCGTCAGCGACGAGTATGCAGATCTGCTTGACTTTGCCACTACGCAGATCACGCAAGAACCTCTTATGTTCGAGCGTTGGCAACTGAGTGATCTCCGAAGTTAACTTCGGAGGCGCAATCAGATCAAGTGTATAAGCGCCTACACATGATCCGTTATTGACTATGACATTCAATGTCTCTGTCATTTCCTGGGGACTTATTCCCTCAGGCTTCGAAGGACTTATTCCTTCGTCTTCCCGGGGACTTATTCCCGCGGGTTTCGGGGAACTTATTTCCGCCGTATTTGTAATCTTGGGACTTATTCCCTTTACTTCCTCTAGCTGGGGTTGCGCAACCACAGCGAGATCCTCTACGAAAGACTCTCCAGTCGATCTAGGATTATCGTTTCGCTTAACCTGAGCGATCGATTGTTTCTCTTCTAGATGTTCCCCTCTAGGGATACATCTTTGTCCCAGTCCACCCGACTTATTCGAGTGGTGGACCTTCGGCGCAGCCTGTGTTTCCTCACAGCCGCCGGAACTTTGCTCCGAAGTGTAACCGTTTGGTACACTAAGGTTTTGTGCAGTCGTACTAACGACCGTACCACAAGTGAGGCCATCGCACTCACTCGTAGTACATCCACACGCTTGTGGACGCTCCAAAACGTTCATCAGATGGCCATCTGATGAACAAGCGGCAGGCATCGTTACTGTCCGATGTTGCCAGTTTACCCGTGGTTCGTACCTTCTGAGCCACGGTATTCCAAGGATGACATCAAATTTGTCATCCAAATCCAATACGATAAAGTCATCGTCGTATTGGGTATCTTCTAGCGTATAGTGAATCTTCACTATACGCTTCATGACGGTTACGGATGCGCCTGTCGCAAGACGTACCGTCATCCTCGTAGGAGGTGTGTCACATTCACTGAATTTAAAGTGACCATCTTCTAGCGATTGGCGTCGCACAAAATTGTTGGACGCCCCACAATCGACTAGAGCTCGAAGGGACAACTTGTTCGTCACTTCGAGTTTCAAGGTAATGAGTGAGATCTCATTACCTAGAGCAGCAACGCACAATGTCTGTGTGTTGGGAGCAACCTTCATCAAGAGGCCTACAAATTCTCTTGACGTTGCTGGATCAGTAGGGTGCTCCGCACCTACTGATCCTGTCCGTTTTTTGACGGTCCATCCCGTTGTTGCGTCTTTGCACCAACTGCGGACCCTCGTCCCTGCCCCTTTCTCATGGGTGGACGGTCACTACGCCCAGTGTCGCGAGACACTGGACGAGGGGCACTACACTCGTAAGCGTAGTGTCCTGTCTTTTGACATCTGTTGCATCTCTGCAACTTCTTGTAGCCTGTAGAGCGAGCCTTCTCGCTCTCTACATAACAGAGTTCCATCGGCTCTGGACCTCCGTTGTCATATCGTCTCGGTTGACGATATGATGTCGAGCTGGCGCGAGCCTGTCTCAGACTGAAGTCCTCCTGCTCCGCAATGGAAATGGCTTGTTCTAGTGAATCTAGTTCAAGCCGGAACAGGTGAGTCTTGACGGGACCATCCGCAAGACCCTGCATGAACACCGAAACCAACGTGTGTTCATCCACCGGATTGGAACTTATACAACTCGTGAGATGTCGTATATGTTGAGCGTAAGCGTGCACATCACGCTTACCCTGCTTGAGCTTCAAGAGTTCGGTTCGAGCTCTGAACTCAGCTCTAGGCGGTTCAAACGTTTGTCTGAGCCGCGACTTGAAGACTTCCAACGACCCAAACGCATATGGGTCGTGCAGCTTGAGCCCCAGTGCCCAAGTCTTGGCACGTCCTGCCAGATTTGACTGGGCAAATGCAACTTGCATATCCCCGTCGTCGATGCGACGCGCCCTTATAGCGTCGTCCAATTCGACGAACCATCTCAAGAGGGAGTCTTCTTCGACCCCCTATACTTTGAGATGTCAATCTTCAAAGTCTCGGGCCGACGCGAGTGCATCGACCCGCCAGCAGCAGCCTGCTGCTGTCTCAACAGTTCAAACTGTTGAGCACCTTGTTCTCTCAACAACTCTGCTTGTTGAGAACCTTGTTGGTGAAGCAAGGCTACTTTCTCGCGTTCTGCGTCAAGTTCATTTTGAATGAACTTGGCGATAGTAGCATGTTGGGCATCTCTATTGAGAGCCTCTAGCATGACGCTAACAGCATGGATGCCCATGGTCGAACCCATTCGTTCAACCGCATCCCATTCGACATCGCTCAAATGGGAGTAGCCGTCACGCGTAGCGTGAAAGCTTTGGTCATCTTCATCATCCAACATATTCATGTTGGATGTGAACGCGGTCCTTGGACGGACTACGAAGTGCTACCAGGTGTAACGGGGCACCCTGAAGCTTGTACTGGTGACAGTACAAGCTACTTATTCTGATAACAGAATAAGGCGGTGCCTCGTAACTTCACGTACACTCGTACGTGCAGAGGAAGACGGTAAGAAGAAGCGAGTACTCGGTTAGAGTAAAAAGTAGAACTGTATTTATAATAGTTAATGTCTGCAATAAATCACTATTTATCTTCATCTAACTATGTCTAAATACAAATGTGTAAATCAGTTATCTGCTCACCACTCATTGCGTGCGTCTGTCGTGGCGCGTCTTCGTTGGTTGATATAATGGCCTATATCAACCAATTAGGAACTACTTGGAAGTGCTACAGAATATTGTCCTTATGACAATATTCTGAGAATATAACTCTTATAGTTATATTCTACTAACAATTTCTTATAAATTGTTATGTAACGATTCACCCCGTTACAGTTGGTGTCCGATCCATCATGTATCACTAACTGTGTCATATATAAATTATTAGCATCCTAAGTAGTGCTTGTTCTTTAATGTGTGTGTCGAAGAAATAATATCTTTGTATTACACTCCTGCACATTCCATATTCTCATGTTTTGCTAATGTCCCGTTTTGGCATCTGAAAAATATTTTGGATAATTTAGTCGACGATACCAAAGAAGATAGCTCCTGGCCCCGACCGGATACTTGCCAAGCAAAACTTGCCGCTGCAATGCTAGCTGCTATTGCTCCTCACCCAGGTACACTTTATGTCGGACTTCTTAATACAAATTCTACAAAATCCTCTGCACCTGAATAACTTAGTGTCACATACTCAAATAAAGGATCAGCATTCTGGTCTCAATTGAATGACGCGGAAGACGATGAGCTGGAGGTTGTCCCGATACTAAGTTTATCGAGAAGAGGTTATGCATCGGTTTCGAGTTGACTTATGGTTTGGCGCGTTGTCAAAAGAAGCTTCGCGAGACCAGTCTTTCCGTTAAGACTGAGATTTATCACGTTAGCAACTTCACACATATTTTTGACGCATAATGAATTTGCTGCAAGCACCAAGTTATATGTTTTACTTCAAATTAGTCGGGATGACACCTATTCAATAGACCACCACTTGATAAATGTTCTAGAAGGCCGATGACATTACAGGATTATCGTCAGTAACGGACATCAGTATCAAACATGCATTCAATCATATCATGATCGAGGAAAATAAGGATGGTAGCAAGTATGCTTAGAGGTAGCATAGGGTAAGCGAACTAAGGACCCAACCAATACGTTTGCTTCGATTTTTCATCTTTTTAACAGGTTAACAGCCACAACCCGCCATCACCAGCAAGCGCACCGAATTGTCTTAGAGGGATTGGTAGCTACGACCACTTATAATCTAACATATAGACGGCCTTAGCATAGGGTCTGCTTAATTTAGCCATGGTTATAAAGGACGAGAAAAAGACATTACGGATGCGTGGCTTACGAACGAAGCCAAGTTGCAAGACAGCATTGCCCAAGTCATCGAGATCGAGCGTCGGACTACGATACATTCGGTAACGTGCGCAATGGAGAATTTAGGAGCTCTCCGCGACTTATCAAATCGCCCGAATCTTTTAATCGAGAGACGATGACGCGCAAACTTCAAACGTTCAGGCTGGAAAGTATTGTACATATGAAAGTAAAGCCAGACTCTTTTGATGAGCTGCTTGTGAGACTAAAAGCTAGTAGAGGACTGGTCGATGAGTCACGGCAATTGGATTTATTTATGACAAGTCTTTCGTCATAGTATGAGCTGATTTTATCGATCGTAAAGAATATGAAGCACATCACGCTAATCCAGGTGGAGGAAAAGCTTTTGAAGTAATCTGAAAGGCTGCACGGTAAAAGCGTTCTACGTGATTGGGAATACTGAAAATCTAAACTGAGAATAATAACCGTCGAAAGGGTGGTCCATATCGTAACATGGGGGATGCACGAAATGACAGCGGTTTTAAAAATTAGTGCTGAAACTGTCACCAGGTGGTCACACAAAAAGAAATTGTCCAGCTGGGAATCAATGTAGCAGCGGTAAAGCAGTAGTTGCTGTTGGTGATAAAAGAATAATGGGATGGCTGATCGGCAATTGTACCATGTCCTACGTGACACCACACACAGAGGACTTGATCGAATACAAGGGCTTAAAAGCGAGCATCGAAGTAAACCTTGTACACCGAAATAAGTGTCTCGTCACACGATTTGGGGAAATGAAACCCACCGGTTTGGACGGAAAAGGCATTTTTAAAATGAAGTTATATTAATTCCAGGGCCCGATTAAGAAATTTTGTCCTCGTGCTTTCGAAACGTGACAGAATCGTAGAGTTCTCTTATTCACCGAGCTTCGTCTGGAATAGGGATCAATTTTTGCTACTGAAATAAGGAAAGAGAAAACGTACATGCTTAGCTTAAACCAGGAAAAGGCAAGCATCGTAGAATATTTCGAAGGTTGCACTCAGTTGGAGCTCTGGCGCGCTCGTACGGGACTTCCGAAAAAGTTCACTTTGTTTAAGAAAAAGAGATCGACGTTAGGCATCCTTCTGACCCAGTAAGGTATGGACGGAAATATCATGGGCTGGCTGTGCAAAGAGCAAACCGACGGTCCCAAAATTAAATTAACACTCAATGGCAAAGACCACAAATTCGCTTGAGTACGTGCTCACGGACGTCATGAAATAAATGAAGTAAACTTTAAGGGAGGTGTCAAGTACGTCCTCACCTTTTCGATGACCAATCAAGGTAGATCAAGATTTTTTTATTCAAAGCAGGAGGAAAGTTGTTTGCGAGTCCAAGATTACAAGATTATGTACGAGAACTAATGTGACGTCCATATGAAGTGTTTGCGCTCCTACAATAGAGCCAAGATTATGAACAGGATTGTAGCTAGCCTATGCCAACAGAACGGCATCGCACACCAGCGCTCTGTTCCGTACATCCCTCAACGAACGGAGTGTCATAGCGCATGAAAAGGACGATCATGGAGAGGGCCGTACTCTGCTGTACTACAAGAACGTGCCGACTAAATGGTAATCAGAAGCTGTGAGCAAAGCAGTGTATCTCATAAACGTTCCATCAACACGAATGACTTTGATATCACACCGTACGAGTTGGGAATCTAGATTAAGCCTAAAATTGACCACGTGCGCGTATTCGGGTAGCAGGTCTACGCTCATATTGATGATGCAAAAAGGACGAAGCTAAATTCTAAGAGTTTAAATGCTGTTTCTCGGCTATGCAAAAAAAGTTAGGGGATACCGAGTATATAATTTGGAGAATGCCTTGATTAAAGTTACCCGCTCTGTTCAATTGGATGAGCATAAAGTGAACGACATCTGCGAA